GCAAGAGTGCGGTGCCAAAGTGGTAGGCAGTCTAGAGTGCAGTGCCGAAGCTGTAGAACGTCTAGAGTGCAGTGCCGAAGCGGTAGGTTGTCGTGAGTGCAGTGCTTTAGGAGAAGGTAACCTCGAGTGTGGTGCGGTAGGTGCGTGTTGCTTGAGTGTTCCCGAAGCTACGCCCTACCCGAATGGATCCACAAAGTGTCTCGCTCTGCCCAGGTGTTCCTTAGAAAGATCGTGTGCCGCAGCCTTGTTCAGGGTTATTTCAAAGGTTGCGGGGTTTCGCTTTTGCGTGCTGCTGGCAGTCTGTGCTGTAGCTGTGGTAGTGCGTCGAAGCGGGGGTCGTAGGAAGCTGCGGTTCGGAAGCCGTAGGAGACACAAGTGGGTGCGAGTAACTTTGAAAGGTCGGAATCCCCGTCGGTGTTTCCCTTGGAGAGTCCAACGGCCGATGATGAGAAGGTTGTTGTGCTTGGTCCGCAAAGTGCGTAAGAAAGTTGCTGCCTTGCGTGGGCAGCACAATGAAGAAGCACCGCGGATTCCTGAGGCCCCACATGTTGTGCTTGAGGATGTTGTGTCCGAGCGTGTTGTGCATAGGGCGCGTATGCTTGCAGGCCTGCCGGTTGAGATCACTGTTGATTCTGAAGAAGAGTTGTTGCCAGACCCCGACCCGAAGCCTCAACCTCCCGGCCCTCCTGACCCCGAACCTCGTCCCGAGCCGTCTGGTTCAGGTTTGTCTCCTCCTGAAGACCTTGAGGTTCCAGTATACATTACTTCAGAGCGTTTGCGAGCGCACCGGAACAAAGGGCATCAGCCTTATCTGAGTTTCTGTGATGTGTGCCAGTCGGCACGTGGTCGTGTGCCAGCACGACGCAAGAACATGAAGAGCCACTATGCGCCGGGAGAGCTTCAAGTAGATTTTGGCTTCTTCGGTCGAAATGTTCGGTTTCTGTTGATCGTTCACGTCCTGTCGGGATACTTGAGTACTGTTGTTTTGGGTCCTGAGGACCCGGTGCCTGTACCAGCCGTTTGCAAGGCTCTTTCTGAGATGGGCCTCAACGGGCTGGACATTGTGGTCCACGGTGACCAAGAAAACCTCCTGGAGAGTGTGTTCCGGGATTCTGCGAAGCATAGGACGTTTGTAGGACGGTCCATGCATTGGGTTCCGTTTGCAGTGAACAGGCCCCAGGCAAAAGGCATTGTTGAGCGTAACGTTTGCCTCGTGAAAGAAGCGTTTTGGTCTGTTTGGCTAGGACTGGAAGAGCGTGTAGGAGGGCAGCTGCCGTTAGGGAGCTACTTGTTTATTGAAGCCATGCGGTATGCTGTTAGGATGCATAACTTGTTTCATGTGTCCAAGGAGCAAAGCACGCCTCTGGAACGCCTCAGGGGCTCTACAGTCCAAGCTGTGAAGAGTTGTGAGTTTGGGGTGGTAGGCTTTGGAAAGCCACAAAAGGACTATCCGGAGCATCGAGGAAAGCGCCTAGTGAGGGCGATTTACGTTGGGCCCCATGGCGCCAACGGCTCTGGGATACGTGTCTTTGTTCCCTTAGGAGATGGGAAGCCGCCTCGTTTGGAGATTTTCAGCTCGTTTCGTGCCCGGGACCCGGTAGAGTTTGACAAAGCAGTGCTAGACCAACTGAAAGGAAACCGGGAGGACCCCGAGCGACCCATCAAGTTTGATGTGCCTCTGGATGCACCTCAGCCTCCTCCTGACCCTCCGGCGTTGCCTGATGGTAGTCTAGAGTTCCCTGTGGGACAAGCAGAAGAGCCTGGAGCTCCTGATGCGATGGAGGATGAGGATCTAGCAGATTATTCCCCCTCTCTTCCTGCTGATGGTGAAGGGATGGATGTCGAACCTCCTCCTGGTGGTGTCCTTGATGAGGATGATGTTGAGATGGGTGATGGTGAAGATAATATCATGGATGATGGCCTGACCTGGCTGTACGAGTATGGTCTTCGCCAGCTCTATGAAGGACCTGACCTTCGTGTGACGCAGAAGCTGAGGAGGGGAGATAATCCCGCTGAGTGGTTCAGTATGAAGTTTGGAGGTAGAAAAATCTGGGTACATGTCCCAGATAACGCGGTGTGTGAAGTTTCAGGGAAGGTTCTCGCTAGGAAGCATCTTGAAGAAGGGATGAAGCTTGAGCTGTCGGAGTTAGATGCCTTTGGTGTGGCAACCGTGATTGGAGAAGCTGAGGCCCGGAAGAAGGCCGTGCGAAGAATCCACACCACTCGTTGGGTTCTAACTTCCAAACCCTCTGTGACAAACCCTGACCGTGTGAGAGCGCGTGTGGTTGTGCGTGACTACGCGCTTGGCTCCAGCCCTCTGGCTGACGGGATCTATTCCCCTACGACCTCCTTGGAAGCTTTGCGAGGTGTCCTTGCTGTGCACGCGGTTCGTGGAGGAACGCTGTTGTCTGCCGATGTTTCGGTAGCCTTCATGCAGGCGCCTGTCCAAGGTGTTGAGTGCATCCGTTTTCCGAACGGGATGTATGACGATCAGGGCAATCCGCTTTTTGCTCAGTTACACAAAGCCATGAATGGCTTGCGGGTTGGGCCGTTGAGTTGGTACTTGGAGTTCACCAACACGTTGCGTGGGCAGTTTGGGTTTGGAGAAACTGCGGACCCTACTGTGCACCACCGTCTCGAGAAGGACGGTTCTTTGACCTTGGTGCTGGTGTATGTTGATGACTTGATCATCTTCTCCCAGAACTCAAAGATTGCAAAGGAGCTGTATGCTCAGTTGGCCAAGATTTACAAAATGAAGCAGACTGGGATCTTGGAGCCTGGAAAGAAAGGGCAACTTGAGTTTCTAGGAAGAATTATCGTCCGTGTGACGGACGCTGGACCTGTGTTGTTCGGCTTGAAACCGGGCTACTTGAAGTCGCTTGGTGAAGAGTTTGGGATCAGCGGAAAAGGTGTGAAGCCTGTTTTGGGAAACCTTGAGAGGGAGTACCGGAAGAAGGAACCTGGAGGTTCAATAAGCACTGAGTCGTACGAAAGGTATCGACGTGTGCTTGGGAAGCTCATGTGGGCCAGTCTCACGCTTCCTCACCTAGCTTATCCTGTTGGGTTTCTAGGTCGTTTTCAGAGTGATCCTGACAGCCAAGCCGAAGCCTGTTTAAGAAGAGTTGTGCGTTGGGTGATGGCGTTGCCTGAGTACCTTCAGCGCTTCTCTGCGTTTGGCTGGGTCGACCAGAGTTTTGAGTCGGAGACCTTGCTTTCGGGGTATGTGGATGCCTCGTGGAACGTGTGTTCAGTGTCTGGTGCCATTGTCCTTTGGCATGGCATGATGATCAAGTGCTTCTCAAGGAAGCAGTCAGTGACTGCCTTAAGCTCAGCTGAAGCAGAGCTGGCCGCGCTTACTGAAGCTGCCAAGGAAGCTGTGTACCTGTCCCTGCTGTTGGAAACGCTCCTTCAAGGCCTGCCTGCCGGTGACACGGGATCGTATCCCATTTACCTGTCGTCTGACAGTGAAGCGGCATTGTCTATTTCGAAGATGAAAGGCCTGCTGCGTCGAGTGCGGCATTTGGAGCTGAGGCATCGGTACTTGCAAGAGCTTGTTCAAAGTGAGAGACTGCGTCTCACATTCATCCAAGGATGCCTGAATCCGAGCGACGGACTCACAAAGAGTCCTGAAGAAGCTATGCTCCAGCATCTGCTGGAGGCTTGTGGACTTGAGCGGATCTGTGAGGAAGACTTACAGACACTGTGTGTCCCTGAACCACTTCGAGAGAGAGTGGAGGAACTTGAGAACCTCCACGAGAAGCTTGAAGAGCTTCCGGAGAACTTACTGAAGTATCGTCCAGTAGCCGTTGATTTGGCTATGGGGGTTGTTCCTTTGCTGGTGGTTGAGCTGTTCTGTGCCCGTGATAGTGCGTTGTGTGCAGCGTGCAAGCGTGAGAGCGTTGCTTACATTGGCATCACTCAGGAAGAAGACTTCTTGAGTAAGAACACACAGTTGTTTTTAGGAGAAGTTCTGCTCTGTCTGTTGAAACGAAATCCGCCCAAGATCTATATCCATGTAGCGTCGCCGTGTACTGCAGGTTGTAGTTTTCGGTTTAAGAACTGGCACAAACCGAAGTTTCGCCATCGCTGGCGTGAGCAGATGAAGAAGCATGTTGCTTCGTGGAAAACGCTAGGAAAGCTGTTGCAGAACCACTGCCAGGACGTCCTGCTGACTCAGGAGTGGCCAAAGACCTGTGGACTTTGGAAGGAAGAAACGTACCAAAGAGTGAAGAAGTCCCTTGGCCTATCCTTTGGACGAGAAGTAGACCGATGTGCTTTTGATTTGGTCTATAAGAGATGGTGGTTTGCCTGCAACTGTTCGGAGTGGTGTGAAATCTTCTCCGGGAAATCTTGTGACAAGAATCATGTGCATGTTGCTCCTGAAAGTCTTGAGGCAACCGGTTACTACCCCACCAAGCTAGGTAGGGCTCTTTTGCGTGCTGCTAAGCGAGTCTTGAAAGTAGCCGTAGAAGGGACTGCCGTGCGGACGTGTGCCGAGGATGACGAACAGAGCACTTAGCCTAAAGAGCTGTGCTTACACTGTTGCGCTGAGGCATTACAGTCCAAGCGGGGGTGTGAAAGTTCATGTTTGGCTCAAGCTGTTGTGGTTCAAGTGGCAGCGCCGCACTGTTGCCGACGTGGCACCCAGACTGGAGTCCGTATCTAGACTGTGGGTCCCGACAGGTCTCAAACCGTAACCACACGTTTGCTGTAGGCTGCCTGCGCAGCTCGGGACGCGTGGGCCGGGGGTAGCGTGCAGTTCCAGCTTCGGCTGAAGTGCAGTAGCTTAGAGCCATAGAACCGACAACTGCTTGAAACAGCTTGCAAACTCTTCTTGCACCTTGTGAACCAATCCTTGTTTTCTTGTGCAGAAATTTCTTGGATTTTGGGCCTTGCAAAATTGCCCGTTTACTTGTTGCGAAAGTACAGTTGAGGAGTTTTTCTTGCAGGCTTCTTGAAAGGAGGCCATCGCAGAGCGCGCAGGTCCACAAAGGGAAGTGATGCCAGTCAAGATGTCCAGGCATTACACCGTCTGTGGCTGCGGATCGTGGGTGTGGACGGATCGGATTGGCCCTCACAGGCCATGTTGCCAGCAGTGTGGCAAACGCTGGCCACAGAAAGGGCCAAAGCAGGGAACGACGCAGGATCCGCAATGGGGTCCGTCTGTGAGAGTGTGGAGGTCTCCCGCTGCTGCACAGCAGCCCGAGCCCAAGACGCCGAGACCCCCTCGCCAGAACCAAGCGCAGAGGGCATTGACAACCATCTGGGAATCCTTGCCTGAGCACGCGCGCCAGCAGATTGAGGAGGCGGGGTGGAGACCTAAGATCCCTCAGCCCCCGCCAGGCCTATTCAGGCAAACCAAAGGAGGTGCAGGCAAAGGCAAGGGTGCAGTTGGAACAGCGGAAGTCCGGGATGAGGCTGCTCAGGCTGAGGCTGCTCGGTCCCTGTTTGCCTCGGTGAGCGAAGAGCAGCGTGAGCTTCTATGTAAGCTTGGCATCCAAGAGCCCGAGGTGCAGCCTCCGGACCTTGCTTCATTGTGTAAGCAACACATCCGTGCCTTGCCAGCTGACATCCAGAAGCTGCTGGAAGACCCTCCTGAGCGGCCACCCACGCCTCAGGAGGTCATGAGCGAAACAAGCAAAAAATTTAAAATTGCCACTGCTGAATTGAGGGACCTTATTTTCCGGAAAGCTGCCTTGCAAGTGCGTCTGGATAAGCATAAAGAGCTGTACTCCAGCATGTTGTCAGACATGAAGTCCATCAACGAGTCCTTGGAGGAGCGACAAAAGCTGGTGGCTTCCTTGCAAGGGGAATTGCAATCCTCTGTTGCTGGGGTCCCGGCCCCCGAGGCCTTGCCTGAGGCAACAGAGGCTCTTGCCAAGCAGGTTGAGGCCATGGATGTTGATCAGCTTGACGACTACCGGCAGCGCCTTGTTGAAGCCATTGATGAAGCTGTAAAGCGCAGGCGTAAGGACGCACCGGCGCAGCAGGCAGCGCCGCCGAGCCCTGCTCCTGCTGGGCCGGAATTGCACCAGCCAGCAGCAACTGACTTGCTGCGGCTCAGTAGGGAATGCAGGAATGAGTGAGCCTTTCGGCTTGACATCATGTTGGAAGAAAATCCTTTGTCAGCGGCTGGACAGAAACGTCCTGGGAGCAAAAGCAAAAGGAAAGAAAGAGAGCGAGAGCCAGAGAGAGAGAGAGAGAGTCCATGTTTGACAGAAGTGATGAGGTCCTACAAAGAGCCCGAGCGACTTTTGCTTTGTATGAAGTCTGTTTAATCAAAACTCAAGTTATCCTGTGGCAAAAGCATTTGTAACAATTCCTGTTTTTATTGACAAACATGACATGGAACCTTACAACTTCATTGAAGTTTTCGTGGCTTGGAGACTTTCACACGGCAGCAGCCTTTCAATCGAACATCTTTTTTTGATTTTTTTTTGTAGCCAGTCCACGGTATCATGTTGGACAACATCAAAAACCAAACACAAATGAATTCATGAGCCACTTGATTTTGTTTGTGTGTTCTTGAAGTTATTGTTTTCAACTCGAAGACAAGACCAGGACATCATCCTTGGCAGGCAACATCAAAACTCAGACACAAATCAAATCATGAGCCACTTGATTGTTTTTGTTATTTCTGTGTGCGCTTCTGCACCTGCAACATGCACATGCGCGCCATGTGGAAAGTAGACTGTAGCAGCCGAAAACCTTAAAGTTTGTGAGTGCTAGATCCTTACCATGCGTGTCATACATAATTCGCATGTTTCAGGCTGAGGCTAAAGCAGCTAGAAAGACTACACCGTAACCCTGGTAAAAGCCCGAGCACCCCACGCTCCCGGACTCCAAACCCCTGTTAGTGCATATAATCTTCTAGCCCTGAGGCCCTTAAGTCCCGAACCCCGCGTTCTTTTCAGGGTCCTGCAGGCAAGCCCGGCAAGAAGATCAAGGAGCTAATGGGCGTCTTCGGCGTGCCGACTAGTCTTTCTTTTGGGGGGTGGTCAGCACGGGGAGAGCGCGGGTTTTCTAGAGCTCATGATGCATGATTTTAAACATGCTCTTTTTGAAGAATTTGTTTAGTATTGAAGAAAATTTTTCATGTGCGAAGCATGGACTTGTTGAGAATTGTTCTATGGCTGCGCTGCTACTCAAGGGCGGGCTTATATCTGTCTAGCAGGTTCTGAGCCCCCTACTTCAGTGCTTTCGATAGAGGTGGGCCCAGCCATGCAGGCCTCTTTGGCCAGAACAGCTCAGCTGAGAGACATTGCCAGCTTGATTTGGGCCTGCCTTTTCTCTGTCGAGCGCCTGCAATTGCTTAGAGTAAGCTGGCAAATCCGTTTTAGCTTCTTCTGTGCCCAACCTTGATATGAGTGATTTTTCTGCACAGGGCGCAGGTGTTCCGACAGAGCCCGCCGGGCCGATTCATCAGGGGAGAGAGGCGGCGGAACCGTCGGGCTGCCATTTGCCGGTGGGAGAGTCCGTGTCTTCTGAAAGCCGCGTGTCCATGTGGCACTTGATTGATGAGCGGCCTCTGCCTAGCGAGGCGGACGACAACATCCCGGAGTCTGAAGATTTAAATTTTCTTCTTGAGGATTCGGCTGTTGATGAGGGTGAGTGGTACAGAGAGATCAGGGACGAGGATCATGGTGTCGCTCCCAGTGAGTTTCCGCCTGGATTGGACGGTGAATCGCAAATCGGCAGAGAGAGCGAGGATCCAGTGCATGAGGTCTCTGATTCTTCGTTCTCCAGATTGGCTGCTCACAGCTCCTTTAAGAGGCTAAGGCTGGAACGACCAAGGCAGGCGTGGGAGAGCCATCCGACCTTTAACCGGAAGTCGGGTAGCTCGTCACTTCATGCTTGGGCGAGTGCTGCTTTCCTTCCATCGGTGGGTGTGCGAGAGACTTTAAACTTTCCGAAGCCGGAAGAGAGCTACGGAGGGGAAGATGCAGCCCATGTGCCTTGGACCATCGAGCGACGACTGAAGGGAGTCCGCATTCAGAGGTCCGATGAAGATGAGAGAAATCATGCTCTGAAGAAGCTTAAAGCTGTGGTGCTCCTGGACCCTTTGGCTACGGCTCTGGGTAAAAGTTTAGTGCAGAAAACGGGTGCTCTTGAGACGGAGGAGATCATTGCAGCGAGTTTTAGCGATGCTTTCAGTTCAAAATCGGCGGGTACGCTCACCAAAAGGGCTGGCTCTTTGCAGAGGCTGGTGGTTCAACTTTATAAGCAAGGGGTGGCTTCTCCGTGGCGCATGGAGGAGGCAGACTTGTATTCGGCTTTGACCACACTGCGTGAGGAAGGTTGTGGGGCAACATCACCAGCTCACATGTTGGAGAGTTTACATTTTCTTCATGCCATTGCAAGATTTTTGCATTTGGATTTGGAGCTGGTGATCTCTGCTAGATGCAAGGGTGTTGCTCATTCATGCTTTATGTCAAAGGCGCCGTTGGAGCAGCGTGACCCGCTGACATGCTTCCAGGTGCGGCGACTTGAAGAGGCAATGGTGAGAGCTGGCCCGGTTGGTCAATGTATCTTGGGACAGATTTTATTTTGCGTGCATGCCGTTTGTCGCTGGAAGGATTCCCAGAAACTAAAACTTTTGGAGCTGCTGGGCACGGGAGAGAGCCAGATTCTGTTTGGGGATGCTCTGGGAAGCAAGACGTCTTTGAGCAAGGAGGCCAAGACAAAATTTACACCATACGCGGCGCTGGCGCAGGGGCTTACTGAATGCTCTTGGGCGCGCTTGTGGATTGAAGCCAGACGCCAGTGTAGGCTCAAGTTCGGTGCTGGACCGGATGGCTTTTGCCTTCCTACGAGGTCTCAGCGACTGGATGAGTGGGGCTCCACGCCTATGGGAGCTGGTGAGGCGTCTTCCTACTTAGCGGAGATTTTGGAAGGCTCTGAAACGGAGGGACAAGTTCTGGGAACACATTCCTTGAAAGTCACCCTGCTTACGTGGGCCTCTCGATCGACAGTGGTGCGCCTGAGCAAAGGGGAACGTCTCCTGTTGGGTCACCACATTGTACCGGGGGTCAAAAGTATGGTGACTTATAGCCGCGAGGCTTATACGAGTTTGATCGGCAAGCTTTTAGCTCTTTACCGCTCGATTCGAAGCGGAGCTTTTCAGCCAGATCTCGCGCCTGCCGACAGGGTGCTACAAGTTGCTGACGCCTTGGCCGCGGCTGAGGAAGGTCAAGGCCTGGGCACAGGAGCGCGGGATGAGGCGGCCGCAGAGCAGTTGGCTGGGTTTGAGGGCGAATCGGAGGACTCCGCAGATGATGCTGAGGCCGACGGGCCCTTTGAGCTTCCAGGCCAACCTGCAGTGAGAGTGCCGTTTGCTAATGTCGATGTTTCTCAGTGCCGGATTCATAGTATATCAGGCATTGCGCATTGCCTTCGGGATGCAAGCTTCTTCTACTGTGGTCGTTTGTGCACTTCGAGATACTCCAGATATTCTGGAGTTGGGACTGAAGATCCCGATGTATGCATGCAATGTACGAGAGCCATGAACGAGTGAGGCAGAGGATATGCGCATTTGTTTTGCAGATGCTATTCCCTTGGCGCCTGGGAGCGGTGCCAGAGAGAGGGGATTCGAAAGAATATGCGTACTTGTTATGCAAATGCTACTGCCCTTGGCGCCTGGGAGCGGTGCCAGAGAGAGGGGATGAATATGCGTACTTGTCGTGCAGATGCTGCTCCCCTCGCGCCTGGGAGCGGTGCCAGAGAGAGGGGAGCCAGAAGAATATGCGTGCTTGTCATGCAGATGCTACTGCCTTGGCGCCTGGGAGCGGTGTAATATGCGTACTTGTCATGCAAATGCTACTGCCCATGGCACCTGGAAGCGGTGCCAGAAAGAGGGGAGCTGGGTGAGAGCTCGATTGCAAGTCCAATGGCATCTGGCTCCAGCTTCGAGGCAGTATCGCTTGAACTCATTAGGGAAACATGTTCATGCGTCATTGAAGTTCTGATGAGGGGATTATCTAGTGCAAGGGGGAAGCTGTCAGTTCTTTGTTCGTGAGATCGCGAAATCTTGGTGTATCATGGCTTCTGCGAACCTTGATTCGGAAGCAGCTTTCTTGGACCGCGCTAGAAAGATCGGACTGTCTGAGGAAACCCTTACAGGACTCTTGAACAACAGCTTCAACACCTTTGGCCGCCTGGCCTTTGCGGTGTCGGCTACGCCAACGACTCTCACCGACGAGGCAGTGGACAACTGGATTGATGGATTGGGCATGAGACCGTCTGGTTTTCAGAAAGCCAGCCTCCGTCGGCTCCTTTTCGAAGGAGTGAGCATGGCGATTGAAGAGGTTCGTACCCGCATCGAGCCCGGCGTGGAAGGACATCCTAAGAAGTTGGCAGCGGCGGAACGCTTGGATAGGCAGGCTAAACAGGAGAGGTCTCTGGGAGGTTTGGTTTTTACTCCTGAAACCCGGCCAGCCAACTCGTGTGTAGATCTGTGCGTGGAAATGCTTGAAACAGGTGTGTTGCAGTATCACGTTCCAAGCAAGTGGATTAGTAGGGCGCAGGAAGCACAGTGCTTGAAGAGGGACAGCAGCATAAACATTGATGCCGACAACAACCTGAAGATTGCAACCAAATCTGCAGATCAGACATGTGACGTTTCATCAGAGATGAGGTTGCGCCAGGCTTGGAGCCGCCGCTCCTTAGCCTTCGATTTGGCGAACCTTGCAAGCTTCAGGGTCATGGAGGAACATGTTCAATTCTTGTTTTCAGTTCTTCAGAGAGCGCAGCCGAAGGGCTTTCAGGGTGTCATGCTTTCACAAATCATTGAGGCAGATAAGCAGATGTTCATTCTTGCAAGCAACAACCTCATGGGACGTCTAACGGCCTCGCCAGGGGCGGCTCCTGCTTTGGACGCGGAGATCAGTAGACTGTCTAGGAGCCCTGACATCATGCAGTATTTGGCACCCTTGCAGAACCCTGTAATCCCACATGTACCTTGGACCCCTCCCAAGGGAGATGGCAAAGGCAAGAAGGGAAAGGACAAGGGGAACAAGGGAAAGGTCGCGACAGGTTCAAAGTTAGATTTGCCGGAGGGCTGTGTGACCAAAGATGATGCGAACAAGCCTTTGTGTTTCGCTTATAACACGCACGGTTGCAAGAATACCTGTAAGCAGGGCCGGTGCATAAAGGGCTACCACAAGTGTTGGAAAAAGGGTTGCTTCGGAAATCATCCGTACACCAGCTGTCCGAAGGCTGGTGCCTGAAGGTCCCTTCCATTGAGTGCGTCCATCAGTGGAGGGAGCGACGGGGGCGCATTGCAAACTGGGGACCTGCTGGTCCCTGATGCTGAGGGGTGGTCCAAGGCCCGTTTGAATAAACCAGGCCAAATCACGAGTGATGATCTCTTGACCTTGTTTGATATGCTCCCTCAGGGAAATCTTCAGAAGGGTCAGAGAGAAGTGAAACAGTCCTTCGTAACCGGCTGTTACTCCCAAGGTGGATTCCGTGGGTTGCGTAAGGAGTGTGCAGAGTTTCCATACGCAAGTCGTGTCATGACCCGCTTTGTGCAGGAGCGTCTTCCAGGTCATGTTTTCTCCACATGTGGCATTTTTGCAGACAGTCTCACGCCTTTGCATCGTGACGGCCGCAATGCGCAGTGGCCGAATGCGGTTTTTCGCTTGAGTGATTTTAAGGAGGGGGGCTTATGGATAGAGGGCCGTGGGGACGATGTTCGAGTCTTCAATTCTAAAGAGCTGGTTGGAGCGGTTCACGAAATTGGGGACGATCCGCTTATCTTTGACGCTTGGTCTAAATACCACGAAACTGAACCTTGGACAGGTCGAAGAGTTGTTCTGATCACTTGGGTTGTGCAGCAACTTGAAAAATTAGAACCGAAGGATGTAGAGGCAGCGCACCAATTGAACTTCGTGCTACCTCCTGAGGTGCCGTTGCCTGTGCAAACGGCGCAGCTGGGAGAACGGCCACCCATGGTGTTTGAGGTTTTCGCAGGCAAAGGCCTCTTGTCCCGGGCCCTGATGCAATGCGGATTCGCTGTCCACAGTTTCGACCAACATCATTGCGATTCTCATGTGCCCATCTCGCAGCTGGATTTAGCAACAGACTCAGGGCAAGCTTTGTTCTGGGACTTTCTTGAGACACAGCGCCCGTTTGCAATACATTTGGGCGCCCCATGTGGGACCAGCAGCAAGGCCAGAGGCAGACCGTTGTACAATGGACAGCCGGGACCCCAACCTCTTAGGAGTAGTGAGTTCCCGCTAGGCCTGCCCTCCTTAAAGCCGGGGTCAGTTGAGGCCACTCGTGTAAAGTTGGCAAACCGTTTGTATGCCTTCACATATCGCATTTTGCGATATTGCCTGGAGCACGACATAGTGGTCAGTCTTGAGAATCCCGCAAATAGTTTCCTATGGGAGGTGTTGCAAGCCTTTGAGCCACAAGGGGTTGCTAACCGTATCCTTCCCAGACTGCAGTCCATCATCTTTGACTTGTGTTGCCATGGGGGCTTTCGCCCCAAACGCACAAAGTTGCTTGCAACGCCTGGCTGCTTCGAGCCGTTGCGTGCCCTTTGCGATGGAAAGCACATGCACAAACCTTGGGGACAAGTTGTTGAGTTTGGCTCCGTTCGGTATGCCACCAAGGATGAGGCGGCCTACCCAGCATTGTTTGCCTCTCGCTTCGCTTCGTGTGTGGAGCGCAGGGCTTTGTCGCTAGGCCTCAACCTGTGTCGTCGCCCATCCCCTAAGGACCTCTCGCTGGCCATGTTGGGCCGACAAAACAAGCGTCATCCGCCGCTGGTTTCCGAATACCAGTCTGTGATTACTATGCCAGCCGTAGCATTCAAATCGCAAAAACACTTGAAGCTCTTGCGCCGCATCGGGGGTGAGGAGCTTCGAGCTTCCACTGAGCCAAACCCTAACACCCCTTTGGGACGGACCATCCCAGAGGCCTCGAAGCCTACCAGTAACACCCCTTCGAGAGGGACCATCTCGGAGGCCAATACCCCTAGTAGTTCACGGGATCCAGCTGAGAGGGTTGGTGACCGGGTTAGGGTTGGGGTATACAGGACTCCTGAACAGTTTGTAGAGGAGGCTAAGAAGGTCATTCATCCAGTAGATTCTTCAAACCCACTTGAGAAAGCCACGTTGTTTGCCTTGAAAGAAAACTTGACTAAAGACCCGAGGCTCATAGTCTTGAAGCGAAACTTGGCGGTGGCGCGAGTGAAGCAGGAGGTGAAGAGATGCAGTGATGCTGAGGCGGAGCTTCACAAGGCCATGCACCCGGCAGTGGCTAAGGTTATGAGCGGCAAATCCATTTTGGCGTTGGAATCTTTACTCAAGTCCGAGGGCTATGACGATCTTGAAGTCATCGGTTTCTTAAAAGAAGGGGTAAGGTTGGTCGGAACTTCCCAATGCCCAGAATGCTTTGATCGTAAGTTTGTCCCCGCTTTCTTGACAGAGACGGAGCTCATGGCCTCAGCGGCCACCAGACGAAAGTCCTTGTTGAGTAAGTTCGAAAAGGTAGACCCGGAGGAGGCACGGATCTTGAAGGAGGCCACGGATGAGGAAGTGGCCATGGGCTTTTTGGAGGGCCCCTACTATGATCAGAGCCAGATTACGAAATTGCTGGGAACCAACGATTGGACAGTCATCAGAAGGTTTGTTTTGCTCCAGGGGGCAGAGCTGAAACCCAGACCCATAGACAACTGCTTGGAATCCCAATTAAACGCGGGCTACAGCTCCAGCATTCACCTGCGGTTACAAGATTCGGACTACATCTCAGCCATGGCCCTCCACGTAGCGAGGGAAGTGAGCGAAGGCCGAGCGCACAAGGATGCATCGGAGTGGAAGGGCAAAACACTTGACCTCAGCAAAGCTTACAAGCAACTTGCTATCCATCCGAGTCACCGACCTCTTTCAGTAATTGCAGTTAGGCAATCGGACGGAAAGGATGCCTTATACATTTCGAACTCGCTCATGTTTGGTAGCACTGCAGCGGTTTATGCCTTTAATAGGGTTTCCAGGGCCCTGTGGTTTCTCTTGAACAAACTTCTATGTATACCAGCTGCCGTCTTCTTCGATGACTATCCTTTGATGTCGCCGGCAGGTAGCGCAGAAAACGCAGACTCCACGGCGAGTGCGTTCTTGGATGCCCTAGGATGGCGTCACGCCAAGACGGGCGCAAAAGGACGCCCCTTTGCGTCAGACTTCGACGTCCTTGGTATGCATTTGGGTTTAGGTGATCTTGCTAAGGGTACTGTAGTCTTAGCAAACAAACAGGGCAGGATAGAGAGGATTGTTGACCGTCTTCAGGAAATCAGCTTGAAAGGAGAAATCCGACGACACGAGGCTCAGGTCATCCAAGGCCTGTTGCAGTACGCCTCGGGCTTTTACGCAGGCCGATCGCTGAAGCATGCGTCGCACATTCTTGCGAGGATTGTTGGGGGTCTGCACTTTAGTCCTAGGGACCTTAGTGACTTCTGTAGACACACCGTTTCTTTGCTGAAGCACGAGAACCCTAGAGTCTTGAGCTGTGCGA